CATAAATAGAATGATGTATTGCTTTAAAAATTAGTTATATATAAATATAATATAACTTATTTAATTAGGCAATAGTATTGATATTTAAAAATCGGCTCAATAAAAGTAAAATTTAATAACGTAAACATGGCATTCATTTTAAATGCCCAAGCCCATAATTATTTTTTCCCGGGAAAAAGTATAAAAGAAGCTTCAACACTTTGTATTTCTTAGATTTAGTATTTCTGTTTGCATTTTTCTTTAAAATTATTACATTATATATATTACAACCATTTACTAATTTATTGCTTTCTAGATCAAAATCACTTTTAGAATAACCTACAACTACAACAAAAGCTGTAGAAGATCCTTACACAATAAAATAGAAGGATTAAAACACTTATTTGCGAAGTCATGCAACTGATTGCTGTGTAAGGGTTTTTGTTCACAGCGAAAAGAGTGACTTACGTTTACCTGAGGGAGCTAATAAATAAAACGATGAATTTTTTTTTATTTATCATTGACGTGCTTCGTTTCTTGGTTTAGGATAACTCCGCAAACCGTGAGAAAATATTCTTGAATATTAACCACCACTGCTACTGCACCTCTGGCATTTCCTAGCACTTGTCAAAGAGACCTTCAAAAGTTACTTATATCTTATTAGAGGTGGGCATGCTCATAATAGTATTAGACTGAAATGACAATAGTGACTTTTTCTTAATTAATGTTAAGAAAAATAACTGAGTCTAGCTTCATGATTAGTCTGGAAGCTCAGAAATTGAAAAGCAATGTGAGAGTCAAATTGTAAATAGACCATAAGACAAAGGGTCAAACCTAATTTGAAGAAAAAAGAACCAGCACATAAACACTCACAGCCTTTAACTTCAAGCGATCTAGATGATTGTGTGATGTAATTTATTGAATATTCTTTTCTCACCTTGTCGTCTCCCCTCCTAAACTCCCCCGCCAGTTGAGAATATAGGTGTTGCACTCTTGCAAGCTTCCTCACAGTTTTATGGGGCTTAATAACTACCTTGTTACATCTTGATCTGAAGTATGCACGTTTGTTATCAAATTCAATAAAACGTGGAACCTTGAACATTAGTGATAGATGGCAGAAATCCATTAAAGATTCAACTTTTCTAGAAACCTAAACCCCAAAAAAATAACTGCAAGCTTTGAATTTTACTTCCAAAAAGAATTGATTGATTCACATTCAAAGACACCACAGACCACAATCGACTTACGATGTCAGAATTGGAGTTACACAAAACATAGATATACCGTATATAGAACCTGTTGCGAGATCGACTCGATTAACAAAAAGTTAAATCTGAGTTCGTCCAAGGGAACCGATCTTTGGATCTTAAGAAGGAAACCCACATGGCTATCAGATCAATTCGCTCTTGTCTGGATCATCTTTCACACCCAAAAAAACTCAGGTTCCATAATTGCTCCTCGACTGAAGGAAACTCTAGAAATCTGATTTCAGTTCTTACCAAGCTTGTCTCTACAGGTTTTCAAATAAACAATCACGCCACGAAAGTTAATCGGAGTGAGTATTGCCATTGGAATTAAAACAGAGGTCCGTATGACCTAGAGCAAAAGCAAGATAGCGGAGATGGAGAATTCGAATTAGATCTTCTCGATTTTCCTAAAACAACAAAACAAAGGATAGTGAATAAATTATTTGACCAATTGGATGGGAAGTTAAGTTTGGTAATCTATAAAACGATAGTATTTAAGGCAGTGGCAATTCCTTGTAATTTTTGAGGAAACATAAGGGTTAAATACTATTTGTACTTCCCTTTTAATATATTAGATATAATTATCAGTTATATAATCATTTATTGAACGTTTCACGTATTTCTAAAACCATAACTAACTAACGTTAAAAATAGAACAACCTTTCTATTAAAATTCTATATTGTTTTCTTAAAAATATGATATACAAATTATGTGTTATGTTAAAAAAAAAAAACAAATTATGTGTGTTTGCATTTATTGATTACATTAGTAAATTTGTTTTCAGTTTTCATTTATAAGATTCACTATTCACGTATAAAAAAAAAATGTATGAGAAGGAACGTCTGCCACATAACAATTAAATGGGAGAAACTATTCAAAATGATTGAAGTTCTTTTTTATTTTTCTGGACAATGTAATAACTAACGTTAAAAATAGAACAATCCTCATTAGACAAAAAAAAAAAATTGAACAATCTTTCTACTAAAATATTTTAACTCTATATTGTTTCTAAGAAAATATGATATACAAATTATGTGTGTTTGCAGTATATTGATGACAATAGTAAATTTGTTTTCAGTTTTCATTTTATAGATTCAGTATTCACGTATAAAAAAAATTATGAGAAAGAACGTGTGCCACATAACAATTAAATGGGTGAAACTGTTCAAAATGATTGAAGTTCTTTTTTTTTTTTTTTTTTTGAACAATGTAATAGTCTTGTAAAAGGAATTAAAAATGGTTATTTTCATCGCCACAGCAATATTCCACATCAAAATTTCAAAGTCAAGAAGATGAACTAAACTGAAACTGCTTCAGGATAATCAATTCACCTAAACACATAGGATTTTGTGATTATTATAATTTTTGAACCTTTTAAATATGAATATAAGATTCAACTGTATCTTTATGGTTTAAAAAAATTGAAATAAAGCAAACACTACAACATAGCGTAAAAATGAACAGTTGACATTTTAATATAATTTTCTTACAGAAATAAAAGAAAACAAAAGAGGAAAATCAGGGACTAGTATAAATAAAGCCCTAAGCTTTCCATAATCCTCACATCTAAATCTAATTAACAGAAACAGAGTCGTCTCTGACTTTCCCAAAAAAACAGAGCATTTTGCTTTAACACACATCTCGCTCTCTTCACGGATCTGAAAATGGCTGTTCCTGTGATTGATTTCTCCAAGATCAATGGTGAAGAAAGAGAGAAGACACTCTCTGAAATCGCAAGAGCTTGCGAAGAATGGGGATTTTTTCAGGTTCGAAACTTAAAAATCAGAACTTTATCTCTCTGTTTCTCTCTGTTTTTTTTCTAATGAGCTCATCTCTGTGTCTGTGTAGCTGGTGAACCATGGCATTCCATTGGATCTTCTTGAAAAGGTGAAGAAGCTAAGCTCAGAGTGCTACAAAACAGAGAGAGAAGAAGCCTTCAAGAACTCCACACCTGTGAAGCTACTAAACGAATTGCTTCAGAAAAACTCCACTGAGAAAATCGAAAACGTTGACTGGGAAGATAACTTCACTCTTCTTGACCAAAACCAAAACGAATGGCCTTCCAACATTTCTAACTTCAAGTAAACACACAAACTCTCTCTTCTCACTCAAACCCATTTCCAAAAATCAAAACTTTATTTTCTCATTTTTGTTTTCTCCCAAAACAGAGAGACGATGGTGGAATACAGAGGAGAAGTGAGGAAGCTAGCGAGCAAGATGATGGAAGTGATGGATGAGAATTTGGGTTTACCTAAAGGCTACATAAAGAAAGCTTTTAACGAAGGGATGGAAGATGGAGAAGAGACGGCTTTCTTTGGAACCAAAGTCAGTCATTACCCACCTTGTCCTCATCCAGAGCTTGTCAATGGCCTTAGAGCTCATACTGATGCAGGAGGTGTCGTTTTGTTGTTCCAAGACGATGAGTATGATGGTCTTCAAGTGTTGAAAGATGGAGTGTGGATCGATGTTCAGCCGTTGCCTAATGCTATTGTTATCAACACTGGTGATCAGATTGAAGTTCTTAGCAATGGAAGGTAACATCTTAAAAGACTTGAAGTTCTTTTTTTTTTGTCATATTAAAGATATTATTTTAACTTTAAAAATAGTTCAAGATTCGATTTGATTTTTTGAGACACTTTTGTCCTAATAAATTTTTATTAAATTTTACAATGTTAAAATCATGCAAAACTACACAACATAGTAAAAATAATAATGCTAACAATGCGTTCTGCATATATATTTGAAAATATACTTTTTGAGTCTTTTGACTAATTAATTAAAGGGAAAAATATATTTTTGGTTGTTTTTTATTTGAAATTAGACCGGTTTAGTATTTTTGGATTGAACATTTCCCTTTGAAATAGAACCGGTTTAACAAAAGACTTTCAGATTTAGATTTAGGATGTTAACCAAAATGGGTTTGGCAGGTACAAGAGTGCATGGCACAGAGTGTTGGCAAGGGAAAATGGAAACCGGAGATCCATAGCCTCCTTCTACAATCCGTCGTACAAGGCAGCAATTGGGCCACCGGAGATAAAGACAGAGACTGAGGAAGGAAGTGAGAAGAAGTATCCAAAGTTTGTGTTTGGAGATTACATGGATGTCTATGTAAACCAGAAGTTCATGCCTAAGGAGCCTCGTTTTCTTGCTGTAAAGACTCTCTAAAAATGTTACTCACTGTTTTTCTTACCTTCATGCTGTTCTATTTTCTCTTTAAGTTATAAATGCCAAATTTAATAATTGATAATTTGGCATCTGCTTTTCTGGCTTTGTATTTTTTATTTTAATGTGATTTTGAATCTTTGTTGTCACTTGTGTTCTTAGTTTTTGAAGATAATGTTTGTGCCTTTTTCTTTGCCTCCTATGTTAGTTAAACTTATTGAGAAAACATCACATAAGTAACACTATATTTTTGTTATTATTTTCATCATATAATCAAGCAACAGAGTCATAAGAATATTTGCATCATTTAATCAACTTTGTAACTATCTACATATCATTCATGACTTTTTCAAGCAGCTAGAGTCATAAGAATGAAATTATCTTATAAACATCCATTTCTGACGACACTTGCCCGGCCATTAACAGCAAAAAAATAAAAAAAGAAGCTTGTTCTTTTAAAAGATCTTTATAATTTGTACACAAGAGAGAGGACTTCATATCCTACTTAAAAGAAAATACACTAGAAAAATTATGACTAGACGCAAAATTAGAAGTTACAAACAAAGGCAAGGCTCGAGCCAGGCTTCGACACAGACTCTAGGCAGGAGTGCTTAACTTGGCAGGTTCAGGTCCGGGGGAGCCTGTTTCTGCTGCTTCAAAGCCAGAACAATATCTTTCTCTGTGGGCAGGTGAGATTCTTCAATAGTTTTTTCTGTCTTTCTTCTGGCTGCTTTTGCTTCTGCTGAAGAGCTTGAGGATCCCTTTATTTTCTCATGTTGCTGCTTTGATTTGTCCACTGTTGGTTGAGTGTGGACTAAGGACGTGGTGGTTGCGCTTGAGACAACAACAACACCTGTTGTTTTATCTCCAACACTTGAAGCCTTCTCGGGATAAGTAGTAGTACCCTCTGGTTTTGGTAGCGTCTGTTTCCTCTTCGTCATCTTCCCTTGACCCTTGAATAAGAAAAATAGCTGATAAATGACACCATACCGCAGAAAGACTTGCGAGATAATGGAAACAGTCTATGATAAATACCGTCTCCTTGCCATGATTCTCATACAATGCTCTCTGCCTTTCCTTTGCCCGGCAAATGGCACGCTTGATCCCATGATTGTCCATTAACCGATTTGGCCAGAGTTCAGCTAACTGGAGCATGAATAAATCATAAAAGAGACACAGTTAGGAAGATAAGATCACCAATATTAAAGTTTAAGCAAGGTCTAGTCTAGTGACTTAGGAACTTACATTTGCATAAAGCTTTCTGATATGTGGACCTGAATCTTCATCCAATCCCTATTATTACCAAAAAAGAAAAAAAACAGAGCACAAAAACTATGTTAACACTTCAATTCTGGATCTAACGAGTTGACCATTGCTATGAAAGGTTGCAAAAAAATGGAAAATTTTAATTACATCAACGAAGATGTCATATAGGTCACATAATTTGTCCTCCATCGCTGCATTCATGACAAACTTCTTCTTGGTAGGTGGGCCAACATCCTGAAAATCGTCTGATGTTCCAGCTTCTTGATTGGTTGCCTGTGAAATACTCTATGTCAGTATAGACCCTATAACAGAAAACTCAAAAACAGAGGATATGTAGTGCTTAACCATTATCGGAGAGAAGCATTCATTGACAATGGATGTATAAATCCAACAACAGAGACAAGAACAAAAGTCAAACCAATGAACTTAGTTGAGTAGAAGAGAGAGAACCTGGGATTCCATCAATGGAACTTGTGTTTTTAACATCTCAATAACTTCATTCTTGATACGTTGAAATTTGTTATCTTTTTCTCGATTTGCAGAGTCTCCGGAATCAATCATGATTTTCAAGTTTCTCTGTAAAAACAAGCATGATAATCTTATGCCTCAGTAAGAATCACAACTCCATTCATATAACAAGTCCTATATACATGGGAGAGAGGTGATTACCTTCAGCGATCTAACTTGTATTAGATGACCAACTATGCTCATGAGACGGTTGATTAACTCTCCTGATACATTCCCTTGGCTCGCTTGCTTCAATACAATAAAATTTCAATACATCTGGAAGACTTTCTAAGAGAAAAATAAAAGAACATAAGAGTTTGATTACCGCAATCCTAGCAACTTTAGCAAGCTTCGATTTAACGTCTCCTGGCAATCTCCTCTTCACCGCTTGGGATGAGGTATCAGCTTCTTGATTCTCAGGGGCAGTAGGAGGCCTTGCTGCTATAAAATTGTACATTATAGTTTGCTAAAATGGTATTTAAACTGAAGAAGTGCTCGACCAGTTGAAACTCACATTCAGCGACCACCTTTTCCAATTCCCTGAAGGCTTTCTCAAGTGTTGAGGTTTTAGACCTGGGATTAGAACCGCCTTTTCTCTAAATTAAGAAAGGTTATTGCAGGAATTAAAAAAACATATGTCAAACATGCAAGGAAATAGGCATGGAAGAGAGTATTGGCAGGGACGATCAACCATGAGGACATGCACTTAAGATAGCTGGAAAGTACTTACTGTTGTTTGAATAGATTGTCTGCTTACTGTTGCATTGTCCAGGTCTTGCATGCCAGTGTTTTCCTTCTGGCGGACTACTGTTTTAGACAAAACATCTGGCCGAGATTTCCCTGGCAGTGAATTAGATTGCTGATGAGCACCTTTGTTGCTGTACTTCGTATGAAGGGCGCCAGAAGATTCAGCTGACTTTGACTTCGGACTTGGACTTAGTGCTTTTCTTAGCAGATTTGGTTTATCACTATGCTTCACATTTTCCAAAAATAAGGAGTCATTGCCACTTTGCTGTTTCAAAGGAGAAACTGAATCCTGCACTGTCTTTGAATCATTGGACTTTTTCTTCAGAGAGGGCCCAGAAACAGCTGATTGATCCTGGAATTTCGCATTAATGTTACCAATCGTCTCTTGAGTAGAACTTTAAGAAATTCAAAAAGTTTTTAGCAAGCAACGGTACTACTACCTTTCCACCATCCGTCTTAGCTATCTTGGCTTGTTTTCTGGATACATCAACAACATCGCCGCAAGGTTTTGCTGACTCTTTCCTTTGCCTTTTCTTTGGTTTCTGGTTCGACGTTGTTGTTGTTGACGGTTCACTGGTGTAGAAACGAATCACAATTTTAAATAAACCGGTAAATGGAAGATCGCATAATTATAGAGGAGCAACTTGGAAAAATAAATCCTATCTATAAT